ATAACACGACCCCCCTTTACATTTGAAATTTTCCCAAAAACCACCCCCACCCCCCAAAATCTGCCCTTTGGGGTGCTTTTTTAGGGTTGAAAATAATTTATCTGAATTCCTTGGGGTCAAAATAGGGGGTTCCAGTTGCAATTAGGTTTCCATTTGCTTTCATATTGGAGCTATACAAGCCGGCCGGGTGGTCTGAGACACCCTGTATATATATAAATCTATATATATATATATATATATATATATATATATATTAATAAATAATATGTAAAATGAGTAAAAAGATAGCAAAAGGGTTAAAACCAGAGTTTTTTGAAAGCTCATTTATTAATTAAAGTGTTATGCAAATTTAAACCCCCCACAAAATTCCACCTCTTTACAGTGAAAAGTAGTACTTATATAAAAATTTGAACGAATGGTGTTTTTGGCCTCTGGGGACATCAAAATGAAAAAGTAAATCGGTCCCGGGCCTAAGTCTTACCATGCCACCTACAGTAATAGCTACTTCCCTATAGGGAAATTCGCTAAAAAGATTATAGTATTTTAGAATTGAATTTTGGACATTTTCTTTGTGATCTTAAATTTGTAATTTTGGATACTAAGAACATATTTAACCGAAGAACATTTTTGAGGAGAAGTTAGCTTTAAGTATGCCTGCAAGCGTTAACCAAGCCGATTAAACGTATTTTCCTACATCACTTACTCGATGTACTTGGCCTTTAAGGTTTAAGAGTAATACTACTTCCATATACTACTTCGAATAAATATCTAAGAATTTGGATAATATGACATGGACATAAATTAGAGTCAAATCCATTAAATTGTAAAGCATGTGGATGCTTTATGTTAAATTGTAAAAGTTAGTAACTATACAAAAGAAAATCTGATTTATATCCATATAAAGACCAAAGTACCCATGAACTTTTGAGAAAACTAAAAGTCACTTCCCCATAAACCATATACTTAAAATGCTCGTCATGACGATAAATCTTGCTCTAAACTATCAATTGTTTCATAAATTGCCCTATAAAGTTGTAATTGATTTCAAAAGGGAACTTTCCATATACCTAATGTTAAAAATATCTCAACTGTACCATAGACTAACCAACATCACAAGTATGTGACTAACCAACCTCTAGACTATGTATTTTATCTATGGCTGTACTTATTATTTGTTTGCTATTCTTTCAATTTATTACCTTATCAGTAGTCTAGTCAATAAAGGGATTGTAGAGGACATGGAGAGGGGGAAATGTTTTTTCTGCGGGAATGTGTTCGGGGTAGTTAGAAGATAAAAATACCAAAAGTCCCCGCCCCTGGCCCTGCTGCTTCAGCGGGGGGAGGGGGGCAAAGGCCCCATTTTTTAGTTTTTTACTTCTACACTGAAAACCGTGCATCGCACGGAAAAAATGTAAATTATAAAAAGAAAGATGATAAAATTCTCTACAAGAATGGTCATATTCATTTCTACCGTATATGCATTAGTTTAAAAGATATTCTCAAAATAATATAAAAATTCTTAAATAAATTGATTTTTTACGCGTTTTTTGTCAAATAAGTTTATATAATCCATTAGCCTGTTGTTGTTTCACATCAATCAGGATAGAAAACAGGTTTTTGAACACTAACCTATATAATATAATATATCAATCGTATATATTGTGTTAAAAATAGCTTATATAAATTTAAATAAAATATGTATATTTGTCATGGAAACAAGTAATTTTGGCATATTTATTCCCTAAAAATTAAAAAGATTATGTTTGTTGCTATATTTGTCCAGGTTTACTTATATCAATCACCGAAACCAAGACTTAATAATATTGTTCATGATCTCTCCATAATCCAATTCTTGTTCATTAGACTCAATATCTATACTGTTAATACTGTTATATGAAATGGCAACCATACAAAGTAGGTATTTTAAACCAAGTGTGAATGGAGATGAGTGTAGGATGAGTGGCGCGATCTTGTAGTCTTGTTAGTGACTCCCCACCTTAGACACAGCTGTTAATTAATAGCCCATACAGCTAATGGCAACTAAGGGACCTACAGTTTATAGTGGAATCCGAACCACATTTATGCCTTGGTAATTACGAATTGGTCTAATTATCAGGATAGTACTGCGGATAGTCGTAGTACTCACCCGTGCGGACGTTAATCCACACCAGGGAGTATCGCATCCACCTTGCATGCCTATAAATATCCACAATTCGTATAAAAGGGGGGACATAACCGTATCTATATCATTATTATAGATATTTTTGAGGTTAATATAAATAATATTTATGCTTAGAGCATAATAAACTCTTTAATTATATATTACCCTCATACATGAGCCCAAAACGTTTAATTTGAGACATAAATAAAGTCTTTCGGACAATTACTTCAAAAGATACAGCAAGAAATCTAAATTTCCAAGATGGCGGCAGTTTTTTTTTCAAAATGGCGGCCGTTCCCCAACTGGGATTTCTTGGGACTTTGTGTGGGCCACTCAGGACATTTTTTTGAACATTTCCACCAATTTTCAGCCTGTTATCAATTTTGTCCGGGTCATAACCTAATTGCTCTGGACTAATAAATTTAAACTATACAATATCATATACAAAGATAGTTTCTAATCAGAACTCCCCCCCCCCCCCAAGGGACCGCCACTAGTCAGTAGATATTCATTTGAACAGAGACACCAAAATTATAGTAACCAGGAACAGTTAATCCCTTAACCAAGTTTTTTGCAAATGTACTCAAGATTATAACAGTGCCTGATGTGCAATTTGTGCATGCAAGAAAATGTCCAATAAGTGTTCTCCGTTATGCCAGAACTGCTAAGGGATCTTTTTACATGAAATACCCATTTTGATGAATGAGGAAGATGAAGAATATACAGGCCTACACCGAATTCTCACTTTGATAGCCAATATTGAGTCTAATCAACAAGAATTGAATGATGGAGATGTCCTAGATGGTGGTTTTCAGTTCCAGATGGCACCAGTTTTTGGGACAGAAGTCGGACCCTCTCGTCCCAAGTGAGCCAGACCATGAACAATAATATTAAGTCTTGGTTTCGGTAATTGTTATAAATAAACCTGGACAAATATAGCTACAAACATAATCATTTTAATTTTTCATGTAATAATTATGCCAAAATTACTTGTTTCCATGACAAATATATATAACTTATTTAAATTTATATTAACTATTTTTAACACAATTTATACGATTGATATATTATATTATATAGGTTAGTGTTCAAAAACCTGTTTTCTATCCTGATTGATGTGAAACAACAACAGGCTAATGGATTATATAAACTTATTTGACAAAAAACGCGTGAAAAATCAATTTATTTAAGAATTTTTATATTATTTTGAGAATATCTTTTAAACTAATGCATATACGGAAGAAATGAATATGACCATTCTTGTAGAAAATTTTATCATCTTTCTTTTTATAATTTACATTTTTTCCGTACGATGCACGGTTTTCAGTGTAGAAGTAAAAAACTAAAAAATGGGGCCTTTCCCCCCCTCAACCCGCTGAAGCAGCAGGGCCAGGGGCGGGGACTTTTGGTATTTTTATCTTCTAACTACCCCGAACACATTCCCGCAGAAAAAAAATTTCCCCCTCTCCATGTCCTCTACACCCCCCTTTTGAGCATTCATTGACTGGACTACAGGTGTGATTATTTGTTTGTATTACTGTATTCTATTTTGTTAATTTCAGCTTAACTTAACCAATCAATAGTTTTATTAATATAATACTTATGAAGTCAAAGCTTTGTGGGTAACAGCTAGTTTCTTTAATGTTTATTTTTTGTTAACAACAAAAGGTTGTGTAACTTGTTTTACTATGAATGTAATGTTTATATCAAAATTGGTTTGTCAAATGGCAAACATTTGAAGTAAGTTTTCAAGCAGTGTCAAAATCTAATAAGCACCCAGTAAAACTCGTAAAAAAACTACTAAGAGATCCGAGGCAAGGCTCATTCCAACGTAGAAATGGGAATCGACAATTCCTTGGAAGAAATTATGCTTCATTTTAGCTAGTTGTTAATTAATGGCGTTACAAGGAATGTTGTAGTTTTGATTTCTTCAAATCTAAACCAATTAAACGTTTTAGTTTTCCCAAAAAGTTTATTAAATACAGTTCTGAGAGAAATTAGAAGAGTTAAGTATTAGTATTTCGTCGAAAATGATTAAAAGTTCAGTTTTCTTTAATCAAACTTTTAGTAAACAATCTAACAAAACCGTATAATTTTAATACAGTAGTTGTTTTTTCTACATGATTATAAAGAAAAAATAGTCACGCACTAGTTAAGTTTTGTAAATTATCATTACTTTTGATCCATATTTCAAATGTGACATTTACCATTCATGCTGGTATTTGTAATGACGAAGACAAAACTGTCATTAAATAGTTGTGGAAACTAGTTGCTGAATAAAAATTAGTTCTAAATGGTTTTCAAAATTACAGTATTATTAATGTGGGAAAAACTGGATTTAAAATTTTTTTTCAATAAAGTGATTTACTCAAGGTCACACAACATCTAATATATGGTTCTAGGCATACTTACGTAAGCCTAAATATGAATGAAAGATGAGTTTGGGATGGATGATGTGCCGCGTGCAGCTTTTGATGCTGACTAATATCAATGGGTTCTTTAGCCATGGCATGGCTATTTTTAAAATCCCTGCTCTCCATTTTTTAAACCATAAAATGCATTCACAACATTGCATGAATGTAATTATGCATAACGACTTTAAAAAAGATATACATAATTTGCCTCCAGGATTGATCTATTGACATAAAATGAGGTTACTAACCTGTCGTCAATCAGTCCTCTATTGTCTTGGATGACTAGTTTCGGGGTTAAAACCCCATTTTCAATTTTCTTCAGTCGTCAATTGTCAAACATATTTTCTTGCATAAGCCGTCGTCAAAATTACTTCACACATACACATAAACACACACGAAAACATTTATATTTACAAATCATGTACATGCGCGTGAGGCCGACCAAGGACAAAACCAGACTGCCTTGCAATAAATGTCCTTGCAAATAAATCCTTCTGCAAATAAATGAGTCTGGTTTTGTCCTTGGCCGGCCTCACGCGCATGTACATGATTTGTAAATATAAATGTTTTCGTGTGTGTTTATGACGATTGTGATTGTGGTTGTGATTGTGTATGTGTGAAGTAATTTTGACGACGGCTTATGCAAGAAAATATGTTTGACAATTGACGACTGAAGAAAATTGAAAATGGGGTTTTAACCCCGAAACTAGTCATCCAAGACAATAGAGGACTGATTGACGACAGGTTAGTAACCTCATTTTATGTTTAAAAAAGAATCAAACCAACAAAATGTCTGATTATTTGTAAGCAAATGAAATATAGGTCTTAAAAGTCTCTTGTGAGCTGCATGACAAAGCTCCCAAATATTGAAGATTTTAGTGATTTTCAGGGCTATATTTGGTGACAAAAGCGTTTACTGAATAAGCTAAATCATTCAAAGTATGATTTGACCATTTCTCAGCTGTATAAGACAATATGAAGTTTTTTTATGGTAAAATGTATTCAATTTCAAAACTATTTATTACGCGATTAAAGGGGAATACATTTTAAAGGAACGGAGCATTAAGATACTATTCAAGATAAATATAACAGAAAAATAATACTTGACACAACATCATACAACAATCAATCAACAATAATCAATAATAACATGATCCGCAGGACTTATGCAGTACGTGTGCGAAGCCGTTTATAGGTTTATGGAAAATCCAGCGATTTGTGGATTTTATCATAGAATGTTTGGTTTTTAATCCCACAAGAGAGCCAGAGTTTTCCAATATTTCAAATAAATATATCATTGTACAAAACGGTGATGAAAGTTACCAAACTCAGAAGTACAATAGCTTGTATATTGATGTAACAAGAATCTAATATATTGTCAATTAACGTAATGCATTCGATAATTTATTCAAAATACTTATAGATCTAGTCAGGAGTATTGTAAATCTTTTTTGCTTTTATGAAATCAAATCAAGCAAAATACTATCAGTCATATCATATTTACATATATTTAGTAAACTCGAATTTGGACAAAATCTAAGGTATGTTTTAGTGATTTTGTATTCGAATATTTGAAGATATTTTTATAGGCTTATATCTCATAGAAGATATTTAGGCATATGTCTATTTAGTAAATACTAAGTAATAGTAGCATTACACAGGTGACAAAAATTTATCACAAAATGAAACTGCATGAAAGTACAAACAACAAAATTTGTATTTTTAAAATCCTGATTAAACAACTAAGTTCATGTAAGATAATTTAACAGATGTAAAGTACGAAGAGAACTGTACAAGAAGGGAACGCATGTTCTTTAGGTTGGTGTGGTGATTATTTAGTCATGGTAAGCTACTGAATATTCTGATGCTGTTCACACTGAAATCAAACACACGCTTTTTAGAAAACTTATACAAATGTTTTTATTCAGATTTTGTAAATTCTAGCTAACATAGTTACATGGTGTAAATAAATATCAAGGTACATAGGATTTAAACGGTATCAATCGCTAGATTAATAAAATATTTACCGAAGAAGACTAAACGGCTAGTCTAAGTATCCTCTCCTATAGCAATCTTTCAAATCGTACTATGTAGTTCGATGGGCCATCAAAATATTATTAACTCTGGACCGTCGTGTCGTTACTTTACCCCATAGAAAAAGATATTTGCTGATTCGTGGAGTATAAAAACTGTTCTCGAACGTATAACTCTTGACTATTACATTTGCAATGAGGTAACTATTGAAACTTTTTAGAAAAATAAAGGAAGAAAGCTAAAAGAATAAATTCACGACAAGAAGAATTGATCTTCAGTTCAAAAGGAATGTATAATATTTTATACGACCTTTTTTATTCAGTATTCAGACACTTTGGTTTTCCCAAGACATTCCCAATATAAGTTCCATTCATATGTCTTTGTTTTATTGAACAGATCTTACTTTCCATTCCCTGATTCGTGTGACTGTTGTTTAAGTAAACATAGTATAGTGTTTTGCAAAAAGAGCTCCACACTGTAAAGACTATTTGTGATTCTGTGTTCCTACTCCTAAATCAGCCACTAATTATTGATGGAGGAGTTATCATCTATTTTTTTTTATCACGCCACCTCAGTTGTAAGTTAGGGAATTTTTTGATAGTATATTTCGTACCTAAGGCCGAAATTGAGATTTTGCCGGCTCGAGATCGTTGTTTTAAGTTCGAGACGAAGACGATCGAGAGCTGCAAAGACCTTTTGGCCCGTGGTTCGAAAGCTATTTTTCACCACACTATACCCTATCACCACTATTTACCAAAATAAATGCACATTTACAGGCAACACACCAACAACATAAAGGTTATAAGAAAAAATAATTCATTAGAGGAACCAGCAAAAACAATAATAAATAGTTGCTAGGAAACTGTGGCAGTAAAACAAATCTATTGCAATGTATATACGGATCCTGCATGTGTATCTAATATACATTTACGGGTTTCGGCGCTGGACAGCAATACGTAGCTTTCAGCCTCCAATTAACGTTTGTAAAACGGCTAAAACATCGTGTGGTTAAACAACTGTTTTAATTTTGTTCAATCTTAAGGTCATAAACAGGGGTTTCAACATCTTAACATCTTAGTAATCGCTGTAGCCTCTCATCGGAACATGTACGTTACCTAGAGAGTACTTGATAGACAATTAATCTTATATTCTTACTTATTGGTATATTGTCCCTTCGTGTATATTAAGTAGAATCTTACACATTACATTCAGGTATTTTTTCCTATTAACAACAACGATAAAAAATTGAAGTTGAAAAACCTCAGATCAGATTAAATACAGAACATAAAGTCATATTTAATCTACAGCTTGATCCTCTTCAACACGTTTTGTAACAAAGATAATTCTGCAAAACAGGTTAAGCGTATTATAACACTAATTAGAAATGACAAGTAATTCTTGAAATTACCTTAAATCAGTTTATATCGAGTCATAAAGAAGGAAATCATTGCTGAGATGGAAATCAAACTCGGTGTGGATTTCAATTGAAGCTTTTATGTAAAGGAGAAGAAACCAATTTGGATTTGTTTAATTGGTTTCTAGGGAAAATAAATGCAAAAGATTGATTGATTATCTGAAAATATTTTAGAGAAACACGAGTAATTGAATTTTTCAGTGTATCATGTTCAGGATACCTTTACAAATTCTTAGAATACAGTTTTATTCTCAAATCTATAAAGGTAAAAAAACACACGTAGGCGTACTAATGAAGAATATTTTGTTTTATCTGATTTCATTGTCCATATTCATGTCCATATTTATTGTCCATAAGGCTGGATTCATCCGGTTCACTTTTTTAAAGACTAAATAAAAAAGATATCTTTGAATATTCAATTGATTTGGTCATTTTTATTATATGTAAATCATGTTATTCCTATTAAGTAGATATGCTCTATACAAAATGAATTAATTAGTGTTAAAAAGAAAGATACGTTATTTAATATTAATGATTTAGTGAAGGCAATCTATTATGAGATGCAACACCAATAAATCCTTGTTTTACTACAGTAAGCCGCTGCGTACCAGCGTAGCTCACTTAGTCTTAAGCGCGATTGAAGGCACTAAAGAATTCAATGAAGGTACTGAGAAACTGTTGTAAACAGCTGTTGCTTATGGGTCAGCTGTTATATTGTTGCAGTTGACACTGACCAACCACACCGATGTTTGATTATATTTCTACACGAATCATGATTGCCAAACAATACTCATTATTCTATTCCTCAAGTTAATCTGTAAATACTTCATACATGAATGTGGCTACAATACTTAATATAAGCTGAGAAACTACTAACAAAATTGCAAATGAATTTATAGTAAGCCATTATGAGTAATTCAGCTAAGTACTGACTGTTTATTCAATGCATGTATAAAATCCCCCTTTTAACTTATTAACTAATAACCCCCCCCCCCCCAAAGTATTATACTCATGAATTGTGGATTTGTGGACAAAATAAAACATTTTACCGTAGTTCCGTAGTTTATAAAGTAAAAAAATGGGATAGTAATGAAAATATTTTTTTGTGAAGCTTGTTATTACATTACCAAAAAAATTAATGATATAAAAAACTATGCAGAATGTCTTTAACGTCTGATTATGTCGTTATCTCAGAGAAAAGTTTATTTTATAAAGGAAAGCTAAAAATAACATGTTTGTCGTAGTTAATATTCAAGGAATATCTTGATGGGTAAGCAGTATCCAGAAGCAAAGTTTTCTCATTAGGTTACTGCCTCTTTCATTCGTATTTCAAGGTTGACATTTGCAAGACATTTTAACATTATTCCACGAATTTAGAGTAAGAATTAATTTACTCTTATACACTTCAAAAGTTATCGCTTACTTGTAAAAAGTCTCTAACTCAGTGCAAATATTATTTTGGTTTAACATTAAGGTACGTTTAAAATAATTTTACGATTTAATCGCATTTTAAACTCTTTGAGAATTACTTTATAACCTGCTTACATATATATAACGTCTATAAAAGACCTCATTAATAAAAGAACAGTAGAAAAGATACCAAATAAGAAAATGTATTTTTGACGCTATTTCAGGTGGTTCATTTTAGGTAAGCTGTCGTAGGTTCATGTGGTTTAGAGCGTCCATTGGATCTTAGAATTGCTAGAAGGTTTAATTCCGTCTCTTTAACTTTTTTTTTAGAATTACATATATTTTCTATTAGACTGGCTGGGTAGCTGAGTGGTTTTAGTGCTTGCCTTACAATCATAAGGCTACTGGATCGATCCTGAGAAAAGTTAGTAGCTTTTTGATGAATCGGACCCAGCTGTCCCTGATCATTGGGCTTTAAATAATATTACGAATTATTACGAGCTGAAATGTTACGATTTTTAGTTGTAAAATAGGATAGAATCAGGCCAAAGTAGTCAGGTTTGTCTCATTGTACGACCAAAAATCCCATTTTCCATTAATTTAAAAAATTAAAATGGAGACCATTTTTAAATTTCAAGTTGAATCAACAGGATTTTTCTAGGATGGGTCTCTTCCATAGGTACAAAGTTT